ACAAAACTCCAGTATGTGTGAAAACACAGATTTCAGTGAATATTTTTGATAAAAATATCATTTGTCATGATTTATTTAAAAGAATTTGTATAATTAACATTGAAGTTATTGTGTATATTCTAAGCATACATTGCCGCATCCTTTTCACAGAATTGCTAATTAACATTTATTAAATTTAAAGTGGACAGTTTTTCTTCTGGATCTGAGAGTGTGAAGATATCTTTGTGTGGGTTAAATATTATAAAACAAGGTTTTTCAGTTGTAGTTTTTATATTTGAATATCAGTAGCAAGAATGATACCTTTTATCATTTCCCTTAAAGTCTATCACTCTACAATTGGGGCTTTATATAGGCAAAACAGTTTCTCATTGAGTATTTGTTAATGTTGTTCTAAGTAACATTTAGAAAGAAAAATTGGGCGATTGTGTATTTTGAAAAGGCAGTTAGTTTTGGAATTTCCCTATCGAATCTTAAGGCGCCATTCCTGCTAAGAAAAAGCACTGCCAGTTAAACTCAGACATGCCGTCAGTTGTAAATTCATCGTGATTGTTAAAAAGTAATAAATCGTACATCTTAGAATTGTTGAATGCATTGTTTATCATTTTTTAATTTATTTGCTTCATATATTCTTAAGAATTTGGAAAAATTGGACATACTTATAGTTCGGATTTTTAAATGATAGTTTGTACAGGGAGATAAAGAGGCAGTGCGTATCTGCTACAAGCAGATGGCGCATAATGCAGTTACTGCATTTGTTTCCTTCATTAGCGGCTTTATTTTACAGTAAAATGTCTGAAAGCTAGTACAGACTTATACTACTTTGGTTAGGTTTGCGTGTTGCATATAATCAGTAGTAACTTACAAGTAACATTAACTGTCCCATTTTTCTACCCCCTCCTTGAAATTGTAAAGTTTATTTAAATATCACTCTTGGTCTTTTCTGCACTGACGTTTTACTGCTGTACTTTAGGGAGTTGTATTCAGACTTTGAGATTAATATGTGTGGTTATTGTTGTGAAGTTTTTCAAAATATTTGATGCAGTACATATTAAGTTATCAATTCTTAAAGCTAAATCTATTTTCACAATAATAGTCTTTCAAGGAAAACACCTCAAAAGTTTCCATATTATGTTTGTACTAGTGCTTTCTGTCTTAAAAGCATTGATGTTAAAAATTTTTAGAATGTTTACTTTTAAAAAGAATGTGATGCTGCTCCCCAGTTTTATTTCTCGATTAAAAAAAGTTTCACAGCATAGTTCTGTGCAATGTAAGTTTTTTAAAAAAGCAATCAGAGCATTATTATAAAACTGATTAGGCTTAAGATGGCATTTGTTTATGCCATAAAATCAGTTTTTTCATGAAATTGGGGCATAGCATTAGCAATATGTAAATCTTCAGATGCTGCATTTAAAAAAAAACATAGTAACTAATTAAATTGCTCCTTTCTTCCTTCTATGTGTGATCCTGATTCTGCTGGACTTTCTGCTGAACTTCATGACACCACCACTTGGGATTTTGCCAATTTTTTTTGTCACTTATATTTGGCGTGTTCCAAATGGACTTCATATTTATTATATGGTATTATAGCACAATGATAGATTTCCCCAAGGACCACCATCTCAGATGGGCTCACCTATGGGGAATAGAACAGGTTCTGAAACCCCTCAAGCACCAATGAGTGGTGTGGGTCCTGTGAGTGGTGGTCCTGCCAGCTTTGGTAGAGGAAGTCAAGGGGCCAACTTTGAAGGCCCTAATAAGCGTCGTAGATACTAAACATTCTTTCATTCCTGGCAATATAAAAAAAAAAAAGTCAGTGGTATGCCTTTATACTTTTATCTGTTACCTGGAAGAAATGGTTTTATTGTTAATGTATGTAGACTTAAATTTTTTTTTTGTAAAACTTGAGGTTTTTGTATTTTTCTTTATTCATAAGCTTTGTAGATTAGAATGGTAATGATGATGCTCATCATTTTGAATGTTAAAATGTGTTTGTGACTTTAGCTAAATTTAAGTATGCCATAGTACTGTGAAATCTATGTAGTTACTGAATCTCAATAAAGAAATCATTTTGGATAATTTAAAAATGTTACTAGTGGTATTCTCTTATGGTCTTACTAAACTTTGCTGTAATAGTAATGCTTTGGTTGCTTTAACTAATCCTAGTCCTTTAAAAATGAAAACGATTTTGCTTTTTAGTTTGTGCAAGTAGCCCTGAAGATAGAAGCTTAATGAAAGCTAATGTCAATAAGTGGTAGATAGAGTAGTATATTTGGGAGTGGGTGGGTATGGGAGTTTAATTTGTATAAACCATTAATGTTATGTGAAATCAGAGTTGCTGCCTACATTTCATATAGATTCTGAATATTCAAATATTCCAAGAAGGATTATTAAGGGTATCTTTAACTTGTGCTGATTTTTCCAAATAAATCTTTTCAATCTTGAAAAAAAAACTGTTTGAAGGCAAATCTCTTTTGCTTATAAAGCAATGTCTAGTTTAATCTGTCTGCCCATTTATCATTGTACAGTTAGTGTTACATTTTCTTTAAAATCAATACTGTTGAGTTGCTTGTTAATTAAGGATTTGCTATGTGATTCATGGTGAATTAGGCATTGCTTGAGAATGTAGGTTTCTAGATGTATTAAAAGATGGCTTGACTCTGCAGTGTTGTAAATATTTCTCCATAGTTTGGTAAGTTTCTGTAGTAAAACTTCTATGATGGGTTGGGACTGTCTCCAAGGACTACATTTCAGTTGGTGATGTTAAAAAGCAGAGAATTAACCTGAGAATGGGTAGGGTCATAGTAATCTGCTTGGATCCCTCTACTATCAAATAACTATTTTCAATTTTGATTTTCAGTGCTAGTGAGAAACTGATTTTATCACATTATAATGTTTATTCCAAAACAAAATTATACTTAAAAATTTGTATGTTAGTTGTGTTTATTTAAAATTACACTTAAGGAATGATATACTATACCACAAATCTAATTCATCAGCCACTGATCATAGCATAGTTATTTCTCATATAACCTTTCAGTGTATTATTATATCATGCTTTTAGCACCTTTCTGAAAGATAATATGCTATTTTTAAATAAACAGTATGTAAATAGTGCCTTTTATTTTTCCCTGGTTTCTCTTTTCACTGGAAAGCATATTTGGAAAGAAATAAATTTGGTTAAAGTCTTACATAAAAGCAGTTGGTTGTAAAGCATAATTGAGATGTATTCTTTTGTACCAATTAAGTTTCTCATATGTACTATTTCATGTTCTATTTTTTTGACACAATAGTGTGGATGGAATTATTTTCTAGAATTTGCACTATTCATAGACTTTTGTTTTTGGCAGTTCTTTGAAAACATGATTTGGAGATTGTAAAATAATAGTTGAAGATGATTATTACATTTTTCTTGAGTATGAGGTGATGGAGACTGGGATTTGCTTTAATTTGTGACGTTAATTGGGAAGGAATTTTAATAATTACAATTTTTAAGTGATATATATTGCATTTAGGTCTACCTTTCCCGTCATCTATATTTTATTCATATAATTCTTAGGTAATTTTTAGGATTATATTTCACTTCAAAACTGAATTAAGATTGGGAGAAACTTGACTCCTTGATGTTAATACCAAGCTACCTTTGGCCAAGGCTGTGAAATTCTGTATGATTCATTCAAGAACATATGAAAGGCAGTGCACAAAGAGATGTCTTATTCTCCTGAACATCTTAGTGTCCAGGCTCAACTCTGGCTCCAAGAACAGAGTTCTACACAGCTTTTTTCCGGCATCAAGAAAATCCTTGTTCCAGTATTTACCAAGTTTACCCTGGGAACAGTCAGCTTCTGAGTCACAGTCAAGTGGAGCATCCCTGAACTCCTAGTTATTCAGTTCTTAGTGTTTTTGTACAGTTTTGTATAGCATTTTTGTATAGATAAACTTTGTGGCTAGCTTAGCCAATTTTTTTCCTGTGAATTAGTATACCAAGGAAGATTTTTTAATGTCATTTGCTTAAAGTGGTAGCTATAAAAATAAAGAGGAAATTCAATAATATTAGATTTCTAAATTTAAGTATGAAGTTGTTATATATGCTATCATAATTTTTTCCATAAAAGGTAATATGGAACAAGTTTAATATTATAATACCACAATATTATGTTTCTTTTTGTGTCATGATTTGAAGTACTGAGTTTAAAGTCTGCAGGACTTAGGCTTCATATGCTATTTGTAATTAATATGCATAAAATAAAGGAACACCTATTTTTCTAATTGTTCTACTCTAGCACTATGTTTTGTCAGAATTTCCCCCGTTTTTGTTTCTTTTGAAATTAAATACATTGATTTTCTTCTTGACAGATGCAGGTTTTAAAGTTCACTGGTATTTTGTAAAATTCTATTTGTTTTCTTGAGCTTTTTCGATTTTTCTATCTAAAAGTAGTGCTGAGTGGTCAATGAAAGAGATTAAATATTTATTTTTAACCTTAAAATATTGGTACTGTTAGAAGGAAAATGTGTGTTTTAGCTGCAATTGCCTTTTAATAGAAATAGGAATTATCAACAAGGGCAGTGACTGAAACTTTCACTCTTGTTTTTCAAACACTAATTGAAATTATACCTTTACAGTTTATTCAGAAACATACTTGTTGACTATTTCAGTAACTTGGTGTTTATATGTAAAAGTCTGTAATAATTATGAAATACCAATGTGAATGATTAATAATCACTAATTAATACATTGCAGTTATGTTGATATTAATAATTACAACATAGATTCTGAATGAGAAAAGGACATAAATGTGTGATTGAAATAAGTTTTGTGAAAGAAGGTGATAAAATGTATGGTAAAGGCTTGAAAGAGTTGAAATTCAGTGTCAAATGGTACTAGTCAAAAATAAAAAGGGCCAGATCACTTTGAAAAATTAGAGAAAGTTAACCTAGAGAGTATGGTGGCATTTAAATTTTTGTGTGTGTGTTAATAGTTTCAACATCTAATGTATTAGACTATATTCCTGAAGTGTCAGAGGATACCAGTGATCCAAAAAGTCAAACTTCTTATTTTCAAGAGTAAGACAATGAATATCCATATACGTGTTTCCTAATTTAAAAGTTCGTGGTTTCCTTTGTATAATTAGATATTTGTAGGCATGGACTTTTTGAGGGGTGGGAAATTATTTCAAAAAATAGGCTTCATATTACTTCCCCCCTAAATATTTCAACATACTCTCCTAAAAATAAAGAGAATAACATTTTAAAGTCAGTTTTATACCAGAGACTTTTCTCATCAAATCAAAAAGTCAAATCTCTTAATTTATGTGTCTAGTATGGATTTATTTCATTTTATGCACTACATATGATTAAATAAATTGGGACTAGTCTTCTACTTTTAATAGCATTGTTTCTTTTCCAGCAGCCTTCATTATTGAATTTAAAAAATAAATCATTTTCTTGTGTTCACACGGTTTTTTTCTAGTGGTTTAAAATGAAGTATGCATACTGTTTCCCAGACGATTGTCTTTCAGGTAATTTATAGACAGTTACTCTGCAAAAATACTGAAGAATTGCAGAAAAAATTTCATACTATCTGATATTTAGAATCTGGATTTTTAAAAAATATCAGAAGCACTATTCTCTATGTCTTGTAAAAACATTTTAAATTTGTTTGTTTCCTTAATTACTGAATAACATTAGCGATTGAAGTTTGACACTTGTAAGGCAATATTTAAAGGCCTTACTACAGAGTTATGTTATCTTTTGATTTAGACCTTTTTTCCTATAAAACCATGTTTAGATTATACTTATCTCTAAGGGTTCTTTATTGTTTGATTTTGTTTTTTATTTACCTGGTAAAATCAGCAGTGTATGTTTTCTCTGTTTTATGACATTTTGTTTTCTTTTAGAATAACAGAAATCCATTATTTCCAGGTTGAGGATACTGAAATTCTTAAAGTTAGGTAGCCAGAGTTTTGTAAATACACATTTAAAAAAAAAGTCTTTTTCAAGTATGTTGCTTGCTTTATGGATTGAGTCACTGTTATCACTATCAGTTCCCCCCTCTGCAACAGATATTATATTTTGTTGGCTGCGCTTAAAAAAAAAAAGGTCAGAATTATTCCTTTCAACTTGTCTTTCTGATTTAAAGAAATGAACTTCAAAAGAGATGGTATTCTGTTTGTACATATAAATAAAATTTCAGTTCTGTCTCATAGAATATAATCACCCAAATTTCATGTGAGGCACTTTAGTCTCAAAATTAAGACTAGAATTAAGTAGATTTAAGTGGAAGTGTACTGAATGTGAATACATGGGTTTCTTTTTTTCTTTTTAAATTTTTCCCACATTTTAAAATAAATTTGGTCAATAAGAAATTTTTTAGAATTGAGAAATTAGTACAGGTTGCTGCATTGCATTGATAGTAATATAGGTGGACTTTATATTTCAAAATGCTCTCTATAAGCAGTTTGTTGGTGGCGTTGAAGATGTTAAAATTGGTATTTTTATGTAGATTTAATCAAAATTTGTTTTTTATCTTTTATCTATTTTTTATTTAAATGTTTGTCTAAACTTTTTTCTAGTCCTGTCAAGACAACTTTGCATTTTGATCAATTTATATATTGTGTATCGTGTGAGGTAGAAATTATACGTATATGCACTAGTGTCATATACTTAAATGAGTAGCCACAGTCCTTATGTTTTATGTTTTTTCTCTGACTGGATCTCTAATATGTACTCTATGTTGTTCTTGCTTCTTTTACGGAGAAAGGCATTGTATGTTTGTCAACCAACCAGGCTTTTGTGAATGTG